AGTCCTACGTTTTGACCTATACATTTTTTTTAGAAAAATCCTCACCTTTATGACCAAAAATTTAAACTTTGACCTCCTCCAGTTTTTACATTTGTTTAAATAAATTAATAATATTTGGTATTTTTCATTGTATCTAATAGGACTACTGTTTGTGCAAAGTTTTAACCTGATCTCAAACATTTCAAATTTGAACCCGGATCACTAGGATAAATTTAGGGGGCCTTAATGTTTTGCGCCCCGAGACCGAGACGAGTGTCACAAAAATCATCGTAAAGAAATTGGGATGGCTTTGTTTCCGTATTACTTACGATACTTTTTATTCCAAATGCATAAAAGTGGCGATTTCAGATAGCAGACGACAGGGAGTAAAAGTCATTCAATTGTTCGACTTGTATGAAAATGGCGTTCATTTTTTTCCTAGGACAAAAATAACGCATGAGAACAGCTGTTTTTTTTGTTCTAGGAAAAAATTGAACGCCATTTTCATACGGTCGAACAAATGAATGACTTTACGTTCTGTCGTCAGCTATCGAAAAGCTACATTTTTGTGCATGTGGGATAAAAAAAAATTTTAATACTTTTTTTGACCCATAACGTAAAAAATAACAGGTTAAAAACTGAGTTTTTTCTTCAAATAGCCGCCATTTTGCAAAAAAAACGTTTTTCGAAAAAAGCAAAACGATATGGCCCCCTAAATTTATCCTATTTTAATAATTTATCAAGAATTTTTTATTCCGATAACCTAGCCAGGCTGTGGAATGTATAGCGCAAGAAAAATACGGCGCGCAGGGTCTTCTATATAAATTAAACTACAGCCGCCATTTTTAATTTTTTTAATATAAATATGTAAACAGTTTGTATAATTATGTACTATTTAATTAAAAAAAACCGCAATTCGAAAAATATTTGTTTATATGAAAAAAAAATTCCCCAACTTCATGCCTTTTTTACCATTGAGAATGGTAACTAAAGAATTTGAAGAAATATTATTCAATGGCACCTGAAACATGTAACCTTTTTTCTGTTTATGTAATTCGTTCATTTGTTATGTTCATAAACCTAACAAAAATTTAAAAAAATTATTTTCAGATATAAACTTGCATATTGAATTTATTTTTTATCATAAACTATATTTTAAAGAAATAAGGAACTAAAAAATATTTTCTTTATAGTGCAAAAGTTATAATATCGTGATAAATGATAATCAATTTGTTCTTTTACTGGTGTCAATTCTTTCACTGGTGCAACTATACCCTATTTGAAAATAACCAAAAATATTGTTCAAAAATTGTTTTTACCCCCCCCCCCGTCACACACCTAGCGAGGGAATCCCTCTTTGGTTTCAGTATTTTTTAAATAACTTTTATTTTCCTCATTCCAAAATAAAATCAGTTTCTATACCTTTCGACGGTTTTCTCCTCAACACATTTCTAAAACAACATTTAGTTTAAACATAATTAATCTTTAATTACACAGGCACACACAAAAAAAGTGTCGTGGCCGAGACACTACACTAGTATATTCTTATGTATTTTTGTGCGCAGAATCCAAAGTCCGAATGCTCAAATTGGTTGTTTATTTTGAGTTATACTCAAAAAACGACTCAAAACAAGAATTTTAACAAAAAAAAAATTTTTTAATTTGTGACATAACAATAGCATATTTCCATGTATTTTTTCCCGATGAATCCGGATTCGAAGTCAGAATTGACAGATGTACTCAAAATTTTGAACTAAACTCCAAAAACGACTCAAAAAACCGAATTAAAATGACGAAAATGAAACATTTTTTCCGTGACACTGCAAAAGAATATTCCCATGTATTTTTTCACACTGAATCCGAAGTCAAAATTGACAGATTTGCTCAAAATTTTGAGATAAACTCAAAAAGCGACTCAAAAAACCGGATTAAGATACAAAAATTTTTTATGACACTACACTACCATATTCCCATGTACTTTTTCCCACTGAATCCGAATTCGCAGTCAGAATTGACAGATTTGCTCAAAATTTTGAGATAAGCTCAAGAAATTGATGAAAAAAGCGATTTAAAATAAAGAAATGGAAATTTTTTGCTATGACACTACACTACAGTATTTCCATATATTTTTACACTCGGATCTCGCATTTGAAGTCAGAATTATTCAAATAGCTTAAAATTTTGAGACACACAAGAAAATCTGTTAAGTTACAAAAATTAAAGTCAAGGAACTCTACTTTTCTTGCTTTTGAGTGAGGTAACTCTAGATTCGTACTGAATACCAAAACCCTCCATTATTATAACAAGGTTATGACAAAAATTCTCTTTTACATGCATGTTTTTGAGCACTTTTAATGAAACCAAAATTTTGAGCCACTTTGAAAATTCTGACTTCGGAATCAGAGTGAAAAAATACATGGGAATACACTAGTGTAGTGTCATAGCAAAAAATTTCCTTTTTTCATTTTAAATTGCATTTTTATCAATTTTTTGCGCTTATCTTAAAATTTTGAGCAAATCTGTCAATTCTGACTGCGAATTCGGATTCAATGGGAAAAAGTACATGGGAATATAGTAGTGTAGTGTCATAAAAAAATTTTTTCATCTTAATTCAGTTTTTTGAGTTTATCTCAAAAAAAGATCCAATTTCAGCATTCGGACTTCGCATTTGAATTCAGCGGACAAAAATACATGGGAATATACTAGTGTAGTGTCTCGGCCACGACACTTTTTCTTTGTGTGCCTGTGTTATGAGGATTCAAAGCCGCAGAAAAAACTCGAAAAAATTGAGGTCTTGTTAAGTAAAAAAATCAACTTTTCAAAACCTTTTTTATTCCACTGTTGGTTAATGACAAAATTATACTATAAATATATAATTAAAATGAATTATTTAATAATTTTTTTGCTTATTTGTTAATGTTACATTATTTTTACATGTAAAGTTGAATTCCTTCGAAGATGTGCATTCGTGTAATTAATGTTTATTTTTGAGACCGAAAATTAATTTTATAATTGAGAATAATTTACTACATATTTGTAAGTTTATGTTAAAACTAAATTTTTGTTGATTCCTTCGTTTATGTTGTAATGGCGCTTATTTTACAATGTGGTGAGGGATTTCCTCTAAACGTGTGTAATGGTGTAATTATTATTATTTCTAAGGTGTGTGACGGAGGGTTAAATGGAAATTGTTTTATTTTTTTATTATTATTTCGATAAATATCCCGCGTGTCGTTTTATTTTATTTTTTAACTCCTTAAGACTTCAAAAAACACCTCCTAAAGTATTCATAACCAATTGTAAAAAATAAAACTAAATTTTTTAAAAAGTATTCAATAAGTATAAAGAGCCATTGACAAATTAAGTAAGTCTTTAAGGTGATGGTGGGGTCCAGCTTTTAGTTATGACCAGTAGAAACATTAGTGCTAATGTATGTAACAGTGTCTGATATAAAAAAGTGGAGGGGTTTCAATTTGCAAAAGAATTTTAGGTAATTTATTGATGGCCTCTTACTATACATATAAGGTTTAAAACAGAAAATAGTCAAAAAATTAAAAAAAAAACATTTTTGCAGACTAGAGAAATAGTGAAAAACATAGTGTATTTTGAAACAAATTATTGAAACATCTGCTATTTTTTTACTTTAGTCGATTTTTCTTTATTGGTGTAGGATTTCTATGCAAAACACCTTCCTTTTTAAAAAGCAGTTTGGATTTTTTGTTTCCGATTTGTCAATCTTGAGATAAACTGTCCGCAATTGGACAATTAACTTTTTGGAGATTTGATCTGGATGCTGTCTGCAGATTATGATATTAAATAAAAATTAAAAACAAACCATTATTTTTATTCTCCAAATATGTACTAAGATAGGCAAAAAAGTTTTTTACATATGTATAATAAAGGAGTTAAGAAAAAATTTTGACTGGGGCTAAACCGGACAAGTCAAATATTTCCGAAACCATGAAGAATTTCAAATAATGTTAATAACCTGTGAACGCGCTATTTCGTGAAGCATATATTGCATGAGGTTTTAGGGACATGTCATTTTTCTTGTAATAATAGTTGCCGTTAATAATTATATAAAAATGTCGTTTAGCCCCACCAATTTTCAGATTTTCGTTTTTGAGGTAGCCACCTTCAAAGCAATATATCTCCAAAGCTATTGTAGTTTTTTAAAAACGAACAAGTGCGATTTGTAGGTGAAGGAACAAGCTTCAAAATGGTATATTACTCTTTAACAAAAAATATTTGTTTCTATGAGTTTTTTGGTCAAAGTCCAAATCCGTCCGGTTTAGCCCCGGTCTCCCCTACCTTAAGATAATTAGAGGAAAGCATGCTGATAAAGAATATTCTCGAAATTTGAAAATAATTTTTGAAATAAGTATTGAAAAACAAAATTAAAAAGTTGCATTTTTGGCGAAAGTGACGGACACTCAAGTAATTTTATTTTGTTTTCGACAATTATTTCAGGAGAATTTATTTTATTTTTGTTGTAATTAATGTTATCTCTAAGAGTAGCAACAGTATTATTAAGCTCCAAATTAAACTCTTGCTGTTTATTAGAAAAATCTGTAAACATTTTCGCCAACTGATTTTAAAAAGAATTAAAGGCACTAACTTCCCCCTTCGCAACTGCTACCCGAATAGCATCGATGACAGCTGAAAGAAGATCGGGTGTTACAGATGAAGGAACAGAGAGTGCGTCCGACTTTGTCTGTTTATCACTTAATTTCACAGATTTATTGGTTCCACCATAATCACTACAGGCGTCACTGTCTTTGTCCTTATGTTACGTGCGGAGTTACGTTATTTACGCGCAGGCGTAAGATCCGCGATTTGATTTGATGTTCAATCTTGGTTTAATCCTTTGAAAAGGAAGGCGGAAATATTCAAATAAAACAAGTTAATTTCCGTTAAAACGGAGGGAAAAACCTCACGAATAAGAAGGATCAATTAATAATTAATAATATTAATTAATAATTAATAATATTAATTAATTATTAATCCAACTAAATTCGCAGTAAACCCAATACATTTATTAAAGTCAAAAACATTACACAAGTCGAAGTTATTCTTATGACTATTTTTGGGACTACTCTGAAGTACATTACGAAAGAACTCCAAAGTAGAACTGAATTCGTGAGGGAGCATTTAGCCCTTGGTCCATGGCAAAATCTTTGCGCATGCCCTGTTATAGAGTTTGTAAAGTCTATGGAGTGTTCAGAATCACAACACCAACACTGCACTGCACTAATACACGTATAAACATACTCTACGTATTGAAAACATGTATCACAACAAGTGAACATAACCCTTTTTCATTCACACTAATTACACAATTATTAATTATTTACATCATATCTAGTAACAATAAATCTCTTATACTGCACTCATCATATTTAAATATAAATAACAATTACAACGATAACCAATTTGATAATATATCATAATATAATATTATTATTATATTAATACGTTACAAATATATATTTATATTCAATACCATAATATTACAACACTCAATTAGATGAAGTTTACTAATAATATCATTTTCAAATAATACATTCATATTGCATAATTAGCAACAATATAATATTATTGTCAATTGTTCATAATGTTCATATTATACAATTGATAATTAAAGTTCGTCGCATAATGAAAGTCTATGTGTACGTGACTTTTCGAAGCCATTTCTGTGGTCACAAGTATGGTAAACACATGTTGCATTGTCCTATGGAAAAGGACACTTGAGATATTTTTTATATTCTTTCGAGGGTTTCTCGGTTTTATGACTCTAAAGAAACTAGAGATTACATTTTCTTTCGCTATTCTACTTGATTTATGACAATTCTAAGAAATGTTGATTTTCAAATACATATTCAGAATTTAGAAACTATTAAACCGTGAAGTATTATATTTTACAATAGTCAAACTTTCTTGTTTAGTCTCGTCAATAATTGTCTAAAGTCGTGAGAAAATACTAAAAATAATTAAGTTTATTAACGAAATGTTATAATTCGCGCTTCGATAACTCGTAAATCGATATATCGAAAGTTAACGAGCGAGATGGTAGTCGCTCGTAACACTTATTACATTTTGTAGGGAAGAGTGGGGAGTTGTGCAACATCTTAATATTTGTCAAATGACAATTATTGCAATAGATTTTAACTATTGTTAACTTCGTTTTTCGTTAAAATCTAACTTTTGTACTAGTACTCGTCACCCCTAGGGTGATTAAAATTAAAATGTCATTTTCATGTCCTGCCCAAAAATTAATATTGATTCTCACATTTTTAGTACCAGAAAAATTATGTTGTACAGATAAGAGTCTATATTTTTATATAGTAATTATGCTAACAGAATAATTTTCATCCAGTGCTAAAAAAAAATAAAAATCGCCTGTCCGTAAGTTTAATATTTTTAAGTAGAGTAGAAGGGGGTAATGTAGTGCACTTTTCTTTTGAAGACTCCTGTGGTCGCAATTTTCAACCAATTTTGATCAATAAGGACTCGTTGGAAAGACAATGCTTCTAGCTACATTTATGGTGTACATTATTCTTTTGTAGATGTAGATGGAGCTTTCTATATCCAAAAAACTGAAGGCACTTTTTTTCGAGATTCTAAAATTTGTGGGGCAATGTAGTGCACCACTTTATTAGTGAAATAAAAAGCAGAGAATATATTATAAACGATTTTATTTTATTAGATATAATATTAGGAACATAAGAAACTTAAAAAACTATAAACTAGTAGTGATGCCCACCAGACGAGACTTTGCATGTAAAAACCGAGACGAGATCTAGACTTTGCATAATATCATCTCGTCTCGTGGACAGCACTATAAACTAGAGATTTCTCTGGTCCTGTGTTAGATAAAATTGAAAGAAAACTGCAAAAATTTGCAAAAAGCAAACATGGTTAAATAATTCATATTTACGGTACTCTGTATAATTGCACTACATTGCGCCCAACCCCCAAAACAATACTAGTGTTTAGAAGTAAATTTTACATGGAAAAAGCACTTACCTGATACTTTTTTAACGAACCTTACATTTTCTTCAAGTCACTAAAAAAACGGAAATATGGTTTCGAAATCTAGTGTTTTTGAAGTGACGCCACAACTTCTTTTAGAAGAAGCACAATAAAGCCAAAATAATATACATTACTATAATTTGATACCTTAACCCTACCATACCAACGGCAAGTAATTCAATTCATTCGTTTAGTCAGTAAAGCCAGTGCACTACATTACCCCCCTCTACTCTAATTATCGAAAATTTTGAATATCATACCTGATATTTAAATAACCTAGTGCAGATAATTGCCTTATTAAGCGTTAATAGTATTGGTGATATGCATAGCTTCTTAAAGAAAAAACATTACATCATTCTATCACATCTGTAACTTGTACGGTTGGTGGCAGAAAGCAAGTATCAGTTTGTCGAGCACACCATGTCAGTGGTGTCCCCATTGAAAAATTGTTCATAATATTAATATTTTTTAAATATTATTGTATCTCATTTTCAGGTATTACACGTACTTTAAAAACCGCACCGACTTTAACTTAAAAATAAAGTCTTTCTTTTTCGAAATTGAGAAATGAAGCAAAATGTTAGTGGTGTCCCTTGTCAGTGGTGTCCCCTTAAAATTCTGTTTCTTGCATCTTATTATTTTATTTTTAATAAATTTGTGTTACACTACCGGTCACAATTAACACAGAAAAAACTTGGGTTTAAATTGAGTAACGTAGGTTACTCAAGTTGAAACGCAACAAAAATGAACCTGCTCGGTTCGTTTTGAGCATATACTAATTTGTTTCAAAATGAACTAGGTAAGGTTTATTTTGAGTGAAAATAAAACAGGAAAAATTAAGTTAAATATGAAATAGTTTTGTACAAATCCACTGAAAACCTTAATTATCACTTAAAACTTACATATTACAACTCAATGTATTGATTACTTTTAAAGATATTTGCTTCTAATCATCTTATAAAATTGTAAGTAAGAAGAATCAATTTTTTAGGTTATAAATACAGAAACATGTGTTCTGACAGCAGGAACAATACCAACCAAAAAATATAATTATCGGCGCCACTTTCAAATGACCTTGATAATAGCGGGAAATTTTTAAAGTTACATTTTTTAAGTTTTGAATTTTCTTGAAAAATATATTTATTGATGTGACAAAATGTTAAATATGCCATTGCAGTCTACTATTTTAAAATAGTGAACTTTTCGAATTAATTAAGAAATTTTATTTTTTATCTGCATTATTTTATTTAATTCCATTAATTTAAAATTACTAATTTATAACAATGTAGAAGGTAAAAGTATTTTTAATTCCGTAATTTTAAAAATAATTCTGTTTAGTATCTAATTAAAAATAAATTGTATTGAAAAATTGAATATAATAAATCTCAATCGTGATTACAGTCTACTAACTTAAAATGGTGAACTTTTTCAATTAATTAATTAATTTAAAAAATTTAATTTTTTATTTGCATTATTTTATGTAATTAAATTTATTTACAATTACTATTTTTTAATAATGCAGAAAGTAAAAGTTTTTTTAAATTCCGTAATTTTTAAAATAATTCTTGTTAGTAGGGTAATGTCACATTGAGTGGACCGCCACTTTGAGTGGACCACCTGAGTTTTTAAGTTATCTGACAGCGGAAACATGAAATAAATAAAACGAATAGCAGCACCGCACCTAGAAACCATAAGAAATTAAGTTCCGCGATAAACATGTACGTTATTGTTTGATGTAACGCATTTTTAAGAATACAAACCAAAAAAGAAGTCGCTCTTACAATGAGTAAAGTGATTTAGAAGTGTAAAAGTAGTGTAAAATTTAAGTTTTAAAAGGTAACTTATTTTTTTCCTACTACTTTGGACATTGCAATTGATTGTCTTAGTTTAATTAAGTGATAATTTTGACTCAAAGAAAATTAAGGTGGCTGCCATAAAAAGTTGTATTTCACTATGAGTGGACCACTGTTTATAACCATGAGAGGACTGCCTGTTTTTTTATATTTTTAATGTCAGTTTACCATTTTTAAGGAAATAAATTGACAATAAATTGGTTTAAAACTATGTTTTATGTTCTTTATTAATTTTTTTGTGATATTGATGTGATATGTGCCAAAATTATTAAAAGTGGTTTCACTTGTAAACATTGCGACACAATCATGGTCTGAAGCTGCATAAGCATAAATTTTGTTTTAATATATCAGAAATATTAAATAAATTAAAGAAAATAGAATAACTTTTACAATTTTTTAGGAGTGGTCCACTCAAGGTTACACTTTTTTCATTCCTTAAAAATTAGCTATTTTTTTAAAGTCAATTGTTTTTTCCAAATAAAAATAAAACAAAGCTATTATGGTGTAAACACTTACCTAGGGATCTAAACTAATGCATGGAATAGAAACCTCCGATTAATTTGCTTTCATAAAGAATTTTTTTGAAAAAAAGCTTAGGCGGTCCACTCAAGGTGACATTACCCTACATAATTTAAACAAATAAAAAATAATTTACTATTATTAGCTCTGCGGGGAAGAAAATGTTGTCGGTGTCTATGAGATCGAAGAGAGTTTTGATTTTTGTATGTATTTTCGCAGCCATTTATTCCACAAGTGATCTGAAACTCTGGGTGATGACTATGACTCTTTTTTATGTGATTTTCAATTTCCTGGCTCTCAAATGATAGTTAGCAATAACGACACTGATGTCTCCGAATATCCATTTCGGTTGATGTCTAAAAATTATAAATATTTAATAAATATATGAATAACAAGTATATAAATAAAGATATTAATAGAATAAATATAATAAAGAATAGTTTTGAAATAAAACATTTTATTACATACAAGTTAAAATGCTATAAAATTAAACGCCAACTTACTAAGGTGCCTCAAGTTGTCATCTATGCTCAGAATTGAAAACTATTTTTTCTTATTTTTAGTGATAAAAATGTAACAAATTTCAGTTGATGTTTTTTGTTATCGAGAGAAAAATATTTATCGACGCTGAGTATCAATGGCAACTTCAGAGACCTTGTTACTAAATACACCCACTTCAAAAATAAACGCAGGGTTCACTTTCAGGTTACTCCTCCGACAAATTGCTTAAAGCATAGAAAATAAATTGTGTTTCTGAAAAAAAGAAAATTTATTAATAAATTTATAATTTCACGTAATATTATTATAATCTTTCTATTTCTTACTTTTTTACTAAACAATAAAATTTGAGAAAATTAAAATAAGTCTTCTGTAGATCATTTTCTTCAATTCACTAAAATAAGTAATGGCTAAAAATTTTCTCATAAACTACTTTTTTGAAAACAATTAATTTAGTGAATTTTCTTGATTAGGTTCTTAAAGTTAGCATTGATGCTTAGCATCGAAAAATATTTTTTCTTTTTTTTAGTTATAAAACTTTTAATGATTTTACTTCATTCATTCACCTAGGAAATAAAACACTTTTTAATCTTAAATCATGGGAAAAATGGAGTGATTTTTTAGTTTCATGAAATAAATATTGTTCGATGTCGAGCACCGATTGCAGCTTCAGGGACATTTTTGATTGAAAAAATATGCTCTATGAGTAAGTAAATCTTACTCCTTCTAGGTTCAAATTTTTAAGAAATACAAAATAAATTGTTGTAACAAAAAATAATCTTTCAACATAAATTCGAAGTAAAATGACAGCCATTTACCATTTTTTCTTACTAAAGTTAGAAAACACTGTTAATAAAATTGAAGTGTTGGTTATGTTTTAAAATTCCTAAATTTGCATTTCTGATATGTAGAACAATGTCACGTCAAATAGAAAAATGTATTTAAGTAAACTATAAACTCTAATTAAATTA